AAAGTCTTCCCTGACTTCCCAAGGCAGAATTAATGGCTTCCTCATCATTGTTCCCTGCACTTTATACAGACTTTTATTATAGCACTTATCACATTGAATTGTGGTCTCCTGGCTGGGCCGGAGAAGGAGAGACTCTCCTTCGCAAGGTTGTGAGCTCCTTGAGGACTAGGGCTATGTCCCATTCATTCTTGTACTCCAGCATCTAAAACAATGGTGTCCCTTTTTTTCTTTTTTTTTTTTTTATCTGTTGAATGACTCTCAATGGGACTGCAAGGTGAGATTATCTTTTCTCCCAGTTTGCTATTTAAAACTCAGCCGCAGAGTGCCTGGGTGGCTCAGATGTTTGGGCGTCTGCCTTCGGCTCGAGTTGTGATCTCGGTGTCCTAAGGTGGAGTCCCACGTCCCGCTCTCTGCTCAGCGGGGAATCTGCCTCTCCTTCTGTGCTCACATGCTCTCTTTCTCAAATAAATAAATCAATAAAATATGGTTTAAAAAATAATAAGGGCGCCTGGGTGGCTCAGTTGGTTAAGCGACTGCCTTCGGTTCAGGTCATGATCCTGGAGTCCCGGGATCGAGTCCCGCATCGGGCTTCCTGCTCGGCAGGGAGTCTGCTTCTCCCTCTGACCCTCCCCCCTCATGTGCTCTCTCTCTCTCAAATAAATAAATAAAATCTTTAAAAAAAAATAATAAAACTCAGCTGATACATGCTACAACATCAATGAAACTGGGAAACATCATGACAAGCCAAAGAAGTCAGTCACAAGACCGCATAGTATATGATTGCAGTTGTATGCAATGTCCAGGGTAGGCAAAGCCACACAGACAGAAGGTAGATCGGGGGACCGAAGGGATGGGGAGAAAAAGGGAGTGACAGCTAACGAGTATGGGGTTTCTTTTTGAGGTGATAAAAATGTTCTAGGGCGCCTGGGTGGCTCAGATGGTTAAGCGTCTGCCTTCGGCTCAGGTCGTGATCCCAGGGTCCTGGGATCGAGTCCCGCATCGGGCTCCCTGCTCCTTGGGAGCTTGCTTCTCCCTCTGCCTCTCTCTCAATCTGCCTCTCATGAATAAAAAAAAAAAAAAAAAAAAAGTTCTAGAATTGGTCGTGTTGATGGTTGCCTTCAAGTGTTCACTTTAAGGGAGTGAACTGTATGGTACATGAATTATTTCTCTATAGTACTGTTATTTAAAAACACCTCAGCAACTTCTGCCACTGTGTCTGATTTAAAGGGAAGGTTCAAATGTTTGCTGCTGGGGAGGAAGATGGACACACTGGGAGTGGGCGCGGAGGGTAGGTGTGGCGCGTGTGGTTGTTGTGGGGGGTTGGCATAAGTGGAAATCAAGTTGAGTCCTTGTGATAGAATGGGCCACAGAATATTTCAGAAGGAGGGGTTCTGGTGAAAACGGAAACCACTTCGACGAAATCAGGTTTCAGCAGAAAAGGATGAGGTTAGCTTGAGAAGAGTGAAATTTTACTTAAAAAATGGTGACTGAGTATGGTCTCCTCACTCGGCCGGGAATCTTTAAAGAGGAAAGGGTTATAATATATAATATAGTATAATATAATATATCATATAGTACATCATATAATACATAATTTAAAATATCATATAGGCAGGGATGGAACTTCTGATACACTTAGCCTAGAAACCCAGCATCTCTGAAGTAGGGAGGGTGAAGGGGGGCTTTCCCAGGAGAAGTTGGGCCCTGCTGGGAGGTCATATGTCACCGTGCTGGGCCTGTGTACTCTGAAGCCAGCTGAACCCTGGCCCTGCCACTTACTGGATGTGATGCCTTGGGCGAATCACTCAATCTCCCTCTGTGCTTCCATTTTCTCTACTGTAAAATGGGGTAATGATCTCACATTCCTCACAGGACAGTTGTGAGGATTAAATCAGATCACATATGAAGAACTTAACACGGTGTCCAATACAGGGGTTCCTGGCTGACTCAGTAGAGCATGTGACTCTTGATCTTGGGGACATAAGTTCAAGCCCCATGTTGGACATAGAACTTACTTAGAAAACAAAACAAAACGAAACAAAAACAAAACACAATGCCCTGTACATAGTGAGGACTAGAAGAAGGCAGACCCCAAAGTGAGTGACAGGTTAGTATGTAGAGCCACGATTGTTGCAGGAGTGGCTGTTCCCTGGATAGCCTTGAGAGAGATTAGAGAAGAGGTAGCAGCTGGTGCTGGTGGAGCTGGGGAGGTGGGGGTGTCAGGTCTGGGTGGTGGCTGGGAAATGGTCTGAAAAGAATTATCAGTATCATTGCTCAATCTGGCCAGTGGGGCTCATACTTCCTGTTTTCAGTGTGTGTGAGCCCTGATGCTGGAACGGTTCATGTTAGAACAAGATCTTTCTTGGCCCCTGGGAGGGTAACACAGAGGCTGAGAAGCAACTCAGCCTGGGCTGGGCCCCTTAGCTTCACACCATGGCTTTTCTTTCCTGGCAAGTTTCAGCTGCCACAGAACCCACTAATGCAATCCTGCGGTGGAAGAGTGGAGGGGGCTTCCACTCGATTCTGTAAGAATTTACATAGTTTGGTAATAACAGCCATCATGTTTGTGCCTTTACTGGGTGCCAGGAGTTGTGAACGCATGCATCCCTATAACGTTCCTGGGAGGTAGATATTATTATCTCCTTTTTAGAGATGGGGAAACTGGGGCACAGAGAGGTTATGAATCTTTCCCAAGTCACACAGCTAGTGCCAGAGCCAGGATTCTAGTCCAGACCACCTGACTCTATAATCCATGCTTTGAACCACTGTATCACAATAAAGAAGACAACATGCTTGATTATAGGGATTAAAAGCAGAATACTCTGGGTCCCTGCCCTTCAGGGGCCCATGGTTTAGGGAGCCTCTGAACCAGAAGCCCAGGAGAACTTGCACCCCAAACTCCACTCAGAAAACTGACTCTTCATGCACAGAACGTATACTGACCATATCTTGAATTTACTTGGCCCTTCACATAACCTGGCCAGTTGTCCCCAAAGGATCTCAATCAGGAGTGCTTAACAGAAACACCTGAGGAACTTTTCTAACTTCACAAGCCCTGGCACCAGCCCTGACCTGAATCACAATCTCTGTGGGTGGAACATCAGCATGTATATATTTTTAAAAAGTTCTCAGGTGACTTGGTTAAGAAACACTGCCAAAACCCATTAACATAGCTTGGAAACTCCAACACTTTAGCATCCAGCTGTACCTCCCCATCTGCCTTCTTTTTTTTTTTTTTTCTTTTAAAGATTTTATTTATTTACTTGACATAGAGCAAGAGAGCACAAGCAGGGGGAGCAACAGTGGGAGAGAGAGAGAAGCAGACTCCCCGCTGAGGAGGGAGCCTGATGCAGGGCTCGATCCCAGGACCCCAAGATCATGACCAGAGCTGAAGGCAGGCACTCAACCGACTGAGCCACCAAGGTGCCCCACCCCACCTGCCTTCTACACCCCAGTTCTTCAGAAACCAATGTTTGGTTCAAAATGTGTGGTCACCTCCATTAGGATACCACCTAGCTTTAGATTCCAAGTACCCTAATATTAGGGATTGCAGTGACTGGTCATGAGCTTCATTAACACACTGAGAAAACTTAGCACCAGCCCCTCACACAGATGATGGGAAATTGTTTTCTGTTCCCTGAATGCCACAACTCAAGCTGGGCCAGGTTTTGGATCAGCAATTTTCATGCAGGTATTCTCCTTGGTTGAGGTCAGCCCCAGGACTGGTATGGGCAGAGTGAATATGGTGGGACTTATCCTAGAGGATCACTGGGTACAGCTGTACAAGATGTGCACTGTACAAAGGCATCCGGCCAAGGAGGGAATTGACGGTTGATACGCAGCCTGAACACCAGGCTGTACCTGATGTACTATGGAGGACCTACTCTACAACCCTTCTAGCCTCTGCTTCCCAAAGCCCCATTAAGTCCAGAGATTCGACCCCTAAGAAACTCTGGAGTACATGCCACCATCATCATTTTCCACTTTTTATGCTCCCCAACTCCCTCCCATACAAGTACCAAGAAAGAACCAAAGTCTTCAGAAAAATCATATTTTATTGATCTTTATTCAAAATTACAAAAATAGACATAAATAAAAATAGCAGAACATAATTATTAAATATTCAGTGTATAGGAGTGGTCCTCACCTCACCCAGTGAGGATTGGATAAACTCAGATGAAAAGTCAGAAGGGACAACTGGCCAAGAAAGAACATCTGTGTAAAAGTAAAACTGAAAATTAAGTGCTGGTCACAGGCCATGCCCCAGAATGATACATTCATAGGCATGATCACATGAGAGACCCAAGAGGCCCTAGGAGTGACCCAGGACCTTTCCAGACAGACCCTTCTATGTGGCATCATAGTCCATTCAGTGTAGGGAAATATCTAGGCTTGCAGTCAAACACAGGAACACCAGCTGTTTCTCACACTGACACAGCCCGTGCACAAGTGTGCAAACATATACACACATATATAATATTTCCTGATACATTCATGGAATGTCAGAGCCCTTCCCTCAAGTCATTAATGTCTCCACTCCGCCAGCCACTGATCCACAGTGGCCAAGCTCCCTCAAGAGACCTCGGTTCTGTTCTACTTCCTAATTGAGAAATTATTCATTTCCCAACGGTGGGCCTCATAAATGCCCACTGTTGGGGTGCTGGCTCTCCTTCTGCCCATGCACAGGAAATGGCGTTTTTCACTCCAGGAGGCTTTAGTTCAGAAAAAGACAAACAACTGGTCAATAACCATCCTGGGTCAGGGCCATCCCTCCATCCTGGCCCTGGGGGATTTGGGTACTCAACACCCAGGCCTGTATCTGAGGATCAAGCTATCATTGCTCACCCTGGTGGGCAGCACAAGCAAAACCATCTCTGCAAGAGCCCATCTTCCTCAGGTTCTTCCTTATATAGAGCTGATGCAGATGGTTCTACTGCAAAAATGACACTCAGCTTGGGAGTGGGTGGTACCCCTCTCTTCCCTTGGCTCCCTGGGGAGCCTCAGAGGGTTAGACCATTCTGTTGCCCAGTGTGCCTATGGATCCAAGTCAGGAAGCTTGAGACCCTTGTGTAGACGCCTGGTTTGTCCTTCATGGCACATCCACTGCCCCAGCTCACAATCCCAGTCAGAGTCAGGCGGCCTTGGATAGAGCAGACCAGGGGTCCCCCGGAGTCTCCCTGTTAAGCCAAAGACACGGAAAGGTGAGCCCTAGGAAAAGGGAGAAGGGGGCCATCTGATGCAATCACCCAATCATGCCCAAGAGGCAGACAAGAGAGAGTTTCTTAGAATTAAAGTCCTTCGCGGGCGCCTGGGTGGCTCAGTTGGTTAAGCGACTGCCTTCGGCTCAGGTCATGATCCCGGAGTCCCGGGATCGAGTCCCACATCGGGTTCCCGGCTCAGCGGGGAGCCTGCTTCTCCCTCTGACCCTCTCCCCTCTCATGCTGTTTCTCTCTCTCTCTCTCTCTCTCAAATAAATAAATAAAATCTTTAAAAAAAAAAAAAGAATTAAAGTCCTTCGCGACTCTCCATTTCCTACCGTATCAAGTTTAAAACCCTCTGGGGGGCTTTCGAAGCCCTGCTACCTGCCACAACTCCATCTACATTCTCAGACCCTTTCCCTCGCCATCCTGGAGTACGCCACGCTCATTCTCATTTTTGTATCTTTCAACTGGAACGGTCTCCTTTCTTCCCTCGGCCTCCTCAAATTCCTACAGTCACATTCTCTTTGTGACCACCTAATTGGTACTCACGTCCCGCTCCCAAACATCTAATCATTTACAGCTCATACCACACCCTGAGCACTGACTTGTATCATTTTCTTTTTTTTTTTAAAGATTTTATTTGAGAGAAAGAATGAGAGAGAGAGCATGAGAGAGGGGGGAGGGTCAGAGGGAGAAGCAGACTCCCCGCTGAGCGGGGAGCCCGATGCGGGACTCGATCCCGGGACTCCAGGATCATGACCCGAGCCGAAGGCAGTCGCCCAACCAACTGAGCCACCCAGGCGCCCCGACTTGTATCATTTTCTATTGTTTTCCTCTTTCTCATGGTCTTATTCCCTTCCCTTCTCTAGTCTGAAGTGCCCAGCACAGAGCCAGGCTCACGACAGATGTTTGGTAAACACAGAAGGATTAGTTTAAACTAAGACCTGAGCTCCTAATTCTGACTTCTTGGGGCTTTGGCTGGAGAGAGGCTCCCCGAAGCTGGCGGACACAGGCCCAGGAGCCCAGGGGAGATTTGGGGGCGACAGGAAGAGAGGCTGGAACTCTCACCTGGCAGGAATCTGTTTCCCACTGTGGGTCAGCAGCACACAGCATTTTGGTGGTGACTTCGGAACCATAGTAGTGGGGCTGCTGACACTCCTGGTGGGAAACCAGCTTCACAACGGTCATTTTCAGCTGCTCTGGATAGAAATAGTCGGCTGGATGGAGGAAACAAGAAGTTTACGTTAACATGTGTCTGTCCAGCCTTCCCACAGGGACTCTCTGCCAGGGAGGGGACCAAAAAGTGTCCCTACCAGGGAAAGCCTTTATTCTTTCCCACCCAAATCTGAGCCTTTACCCCATGTATAGCCCTTCCCCCATCTATGTACCTTTATGGCCCATCACTCCCTAAACGGTGCTCCCCACTCCATCCCCGTCTCCTCTCAGCCCTCCTCCTGCTACCTCCTCAATGATCCCATTTCTATCGCCACAGTCCTCTTTAGATCAAGTTGAGCTTACTTCCAGGTTACAATACTCCCCCAGGACCCTCTCAGCCAGCCCCAAATGTCACTTACTAGTATTCTCTTTTCCAAAGCCAGCGATCTCACAGCTTGTACCAAAATGAGCATCACCAGACCGTGGAGGCAGGCAGATGGTTTGTATGGACCTGGATGGCTGTGCACACTGGCCTGTGTTGGAGCGGATCTTCAGCAAGGCTGGGGGAAGAGGGAAGCAGGAGAGGTCAGGGGGAAAGATCTCTACCTGGCCAGGTGGTCACCATCTCTTCCCTCCAAATGCTGAAGGATTGGATGTCTATCCCTAAATCGCTTAGGGTCAGAGGTCATCCTGGAAGGTCTGCTGGTAGCTTATTACCTGAAACAGGCCTCCCCTGCCCCATGCCTCAAGGGCTTTGTTCCAGCCGCTGACATAGGGCTTGGCCAGCCAGGGCTGCTGTATACAGATTGTATGGGTGGCTGAGGTAGATGGGTTAAATTCAGCCCAATGCTCTAAGTTCCAGATCCTGGGACAGGCAGAGGTTGTATCCAACAAAAGAAGGGGCCTCCCAGCCCACGCCATATGCTCATGGGGCCATTGCCATCTAGAGGAGGCTGTTTGGAAATTCAAGGATTCTGCAGAAGAGCCGGAGGAGGCCCTTTGCTACATAAAGCAGGATCTTCAGCTCCCCTACAACCTCAACCTCCCATCTGGGTCTCTTTTTGGACCTTCTTCCTCCAACTATCATCATTATGGCAGATAAGGGTTTTCCACTCACCAATATCATTGTGGTGAGCAAGGCTGTCAGCATTATAGTCCTCATGCAAGATGAGCTTTTCCACCTCAAACATCATCTCCCCACGTGTCTTGGAGTTTAGCTTTGACCGACCCAGGTAGACAATGTAGTCCTCCTTCTTCTGGTAATGACTGTGGGAGGGGAGACTTGTCAGATAGTCTGATCTCATGAGATCTTGTCACTCCCCCTCCACAGTGACCTCAAGGCATGACTTGCCCCCAGGGCCGTGGACTGCATGGAAGGGGCCTAAGGGGGTAGAATTTAAGTGGCATCCTTTGCTGGGAAGGGGAAGGAGATGTGTTTGGGGTAAGGCAGGAGGGTCAGGGAGAAGAGACATACATGAAGCAGTGTGTGGCGCTGACCACCCAGCAAGGACTGATGAGGCTGCCACCACACAGGTAGGTGACAGAGCCTCCACGGTGCCTCCTATAGATGGCCGCAAACCAAGGCTGGTTCTCGATGGTGGTGAATTCTCCGCCAATAATCTTAAAGCGAGGCCTCAGAGTCTTCTGGCCACAGTGAAACTCTTTTTCCGAAGGAGGCGGGGGATTTTTTTCTGGAGAAGAAAGAGAAGGATGTCTTGGGGAGGCAAGTAAGATAGTGACCCTCTCTTGTCCTCTATCCTCCCAGTTTTTCAAGGCCGGGCAGGCCTCCCTCCTCAACCCTCCTATGATGGAATAAAGGAACATATGAGCTTGTCCCCTTCCACCCTACTGTCATAAACAGGTCAATGACACTCACCAAGAGAGCATTCTTGCACCATGCACTCCCGGACAAGCCGCTTTAGGCCAACCTGCACATAGCACCATGGCCTTCTCTGGTTGTTCGGGTTCCTGGTAATACAGAGTTGGGGGGGAGAGGTGTCATTCCAACCCAGAATGCCTCTCCTTCCCCTCCAGGGAAAACTCAGCCAGAGGCCTTGCTTTTCTCATGCTATGGACAGCACTCTGGAAACACAGGGGATGGTAGCAAGGGTTCCTGTGGGGCTGTGGGAGGGTCTTTGCTGCCCCCACCTCACCTGCAGTAATTGTGTTTGCCCAGGCCCAGCTGAAGGGCATCGGGTCTGAGGGCATGGTACTCCTTCAGAAGAACAGCGGCCGAGTTCCAGGCCTGGCAGGGCTCGCCCATGATGTCGGTGTTGGCCTTCCCTCGGTAAGAGTGACCATTCCCCTCAAAGCAGGTTTTCGATGTATCTAGGGAAGAATGTGAGGATGAAAGGTATTAGAAAGAAGAGGAAATTCGGACAGGCATTTTAGAGATCCTGTCAGGCCTCACGTGATTTCAGGCCTGGCAGAAAACACTAGAAAGGGTCTCCTTCCCTCCCCATCCCACATTTGTGCAGCCAGAGATTCATGAAACAGTATGGGTTTGTGTTTGACTGTGTATCTCACACAGGGATGAAGATGACCCCAACTCCACCTCTTGTTCCTAACTCTTGCCTGCTCTTGCACATTCCACCCATCTCTCCCTGCCCCCAAATCTCTGGTGCCCCCCCCCCCAGTTAGAGTCAGGATCCCCATACCTATCTCGCAGTGCTCCCCTTGGAATTTCTTTGGGCAGCTGCATCGATGAATGTTGGAGAAGTACTTGTAGGACACACATGTTCCTCCATTCAGACAACCGCAGTTTGCTGGGGATGACAAAGACGGTGTGGTAAGCAAGGAGCGTGGGAGGAGGCAAGGGGGAGCCAGCCCTGCAGCCGGGTCAGGGAGGAGCTGCCCCCTGAGGCTTTTTCAAGAGGTCTGTACAGTCAGATATTGTGCAATGGGTGGATACTCACATGCACTAGACAGTGGATGAAGTTCATGGCTGCCCTGGAAGAGATGGAGGGGAGGGGAAAGTTCAGCAAAGGTCCCATGCTCCTGGGACTCAAAGGGGAGCACAAACTGGCGCCAATCCCAAATCTCACCCTTTCCTCTTGCTCCCTCTCTTCACCTTGTTCACATCTAACTAGCCCTCACAGGGAAGATCATAGGTTTCAAGCAGGGAGAAACGGATTGACTCAAGCAAGCTTCACATACAGGGCACAAGAAGAGGGGGGCAGTCTCTGCGGCTTCTTCCTCCCTTGCCCGGAAAGTGCGAACTCCCTTAGTTCTCAGGATTCCCACTGCCACACCTGTCCTGTCCCCCCCCCAGATGGCGCCGTTAATGGAACCCAGAGGACTCCAGCTCCCTGTGCAGCCCCGTCCCCCCACGCCCCACCCCCAGCGCTGTTCAAGATACTGCAAGCCCCCTCCGGCCGCCATACGTCAAAGCGGGAAAGCCACTTACTTCGGAGTGGCCCACTACTAGGGCACAGAGGAGCAGGCACGCCATCAGGACTCTCATGGTGGCGAGGCTGCGGCTCTGGACAGCGGCTCTGCAAGGGAGGGGGGAGTCAGCTTGAGGTAGAAGCGAAGAAGCGAGAAGGTGAGCCGGCTGGGTTACCGCAGTTCAGGGCAGGAATCCCTAGGTCTCCAGCGGGGCTCCCCAGGCCCAGCCGTCCCTCCCCGCTGGGGGCTCAGGGGCCCAGACCCCACAGGGGGATGCACAGGCACCGTGAGCGGTGACTCAGGCTCGGCGACTCAGGCTCGGCCGCTGCCGGGCGGGGGCCGCCGGGGCCGCGGGGGTTGGGGGAAGGGAAGCCCGCAGGAGCAGCCCTGCGCAATTAGGGTGGCCTGCACTCACCGGTAGCTGCGGCAGGAGGGACACGGAGCCGGGACGGCGGGGCGGGTCGACACTCTGACAATCCGCGGGGCTCTGGGGCTCCAGTCGCCGCGCTGTGCTGCTAAGCCGGCTGCGGGGCTCTATATCAGGACCCGCCCCAGCCAGGCCCCGCCCCAGCCTGGGATCTCCCCAACCCTGCCCTTGCCTCAGCTTCCCTGGGGACAGCCGCAACCTGGACCCGTGGGCTTCCACAGCCTTGACTGAGAGTGAGGGGCAGCGCGGTCCCCGGCGGAGGGGACGAGCGAGGTCTGAACAGAGAGATCGAGGGGCATCTAAATTCCTCACCCCCTCCTCCCGTTCACCTGGCCTGGGCCCCACCCCAGGGCAGAGGGCCTTCGAATCGCGCTAGAGAGAGACTCTCCTCTGTCCAGCTCTGCTGTCTCTTCCCAGATCCCCTAAATCAGCTCTTCTCCAGTCTTTCCACCTTCGGCCCCCAACTGCCTGAGAGAGTGATTCGGAACCCCGGGTATAGGGGCCTAGTGCGCACTTCCTAGAGCCAAGTCTTTCTCCATGTGAAAATGCATTCGACGGGGGCACCTGGCTGGCTCAATCCGGGGAGCACCGGACTCATCTCTGGGTTGTGAGTTCCAGTCCCAGATTGGGTGTAAGAGATTACTTAAAAATAAAATCTTTGAAAAGAAAGTAAGTGCACATGACACGCGCTAACTCCTGCTAACAAGGGCTGCAAATACTAGGTCCCCAAAATTCATCAACATAACCAGTGAATAGGACAAAGTTGAGTTTATCGCTTACTGAGGTAAGGGCCTTTGGTAGTGGCTGGCCGGGGCAGCGTGTAGGCAAGGTCCGGTTTTACTGAGAATTTGCAGTTTGGTTTAAGGGTGGTCTTTGAAAGTGAGGGCTTGGGGCACCTGGGTGGCTCAGTCGTTAACCGTCTGCCTTCAGCTCAGTTCATGATCCCAGGGTCCTGGGATTTTCCAGCCCCGCATGGGACTCCCTGCTCAGCGGGAAGCCTGCTTCTCCCTCTCCCACTCCGCCTGCTTGTGTTCCCTCTCTCGCTGTCCCCCCCCCTCTCTCTGTCAAATAAATAAAATCTTTAAAAAAAAGAAAGAAAAGAAAGTGAGGGCTTGATAAGGATTGGGTAAGGATCGTGGTATATTATAGGATTGTAGAACAAAGTCTAAGGGCACAAACTATTGATGCTTTCTATTGAAGTATTGATGGATCTTTCAAAAAGTTCCTATAACAAACAATCCCTTTATTTGCCTGGGCCAGAGTATAGTTAGTTAATAAAGGCAAAATAATAGTAGAGGCTTGTTAACATAGGCAGGAAGCTGTGGAGGGGTAGGAAGTTGTGTTTTCACATCTGAGGAGAGGAATTGGGGATCTAGACTGTATGCGCTTTTGCACTATTTAAATTTTTGAAAACATGCCTTTGTATCACCCATTCCAAAAACGCAATTCCAGATTCTTTTAAAAAATGCATATGTATTTAGTGTTCTAAGACTTCATCATAAAGCCTTGCTTCTAATAAGATAAAATAATTGTTTGTCCAACAAGATTGGCCTCCAGGAAGACAGACCATGTGGAAAGGACTCCACCCGCTCTTCCTGCCTGAGGGCAAGCTCACACAGTCGTATAGACATGCGCAAGCTCTAATTCCTCAGACAGAGGTGAAGACACACAGCAGTCAACCCCATCCCTTTCCCCTAGTGTTGGGAACCAGGGCTTGGAGGTCACTTCTTTCTACCCAGAAGGACTGTCCCCCCTAATGGGAGGAAAGGGGGCTGAGTCCCTGTAACTCACTAGGGCCCTAAAGCCAGGCCCAAGGCTTGGTCCCTTTTTCTGCCTAGGCCTACAGCATTTTGTTGCCTGGCACACCCGGACCTCGGGTCTGGATCCACTTGAGAGGGGCAAGAGGAAGGCAGGGAGAATGCCAGGAGAGGAGGGAAGAGGTAAAGCTTCTTTGCCCTGCTCCTGTCAGAGGTCGCAGGATACCAGCCTCGGCCTGGGGAAAGCGCGAGTTAACCATCCAGCTTTCATGAGGAAGGCACCCCATCCTTCTCTGTAGAGAGTTCTTCTGTGCCCAGCTGAGTTGGCAGCAGCTCAGGGAATGGACTGAGGTGCTAGAGGTCTCAGAGCTGACTTCACTACTTCCTCTAGAAGACTGTAGCATGTTTTGTTTGGATTTAGAACCCATTAACTGCAAATAAACGTGATCAAAATGTAAACAGAGACGTTGCAGCCTGAGGACTTACCCCGAAACTACTAGATTAGGTATCAGGAAATTCCCAACACACTGTCATGATTCATAGAGCGCTCCCAGCAGCTCTCATGACTCCAGATTACTTGGCTGGAGGCTGTCATGCTGATTCTTGAGGGCAGGATGACCTCATTTCCTCCTGGACAAAGAGGCTTGGAGACCGTTATGCAGCTGACACTCTCCTTCCCCTTTCTTCCCCCTACAGTCCCTTCACCTGGTTGAACAATCCTGAAGCCTCTAACTCTGCACTTTCTTTCCACTCTGCCATCTTTGGACACGCACCCTGAAATCTCCGTGTCCATCTTTTGGTGCACAGCTGTGTTAGTCTTTTCAATTCTTTGAGGACAGGGACCACATCGTAAATATCTTTGTCTCTTCCTCAGCACTGGGCACATGCCTTGTTCACGTTGGTGCTTTATGAGGAATGCATCAGTAAACAAGTGGGAACAGAGAGCTTTGGGGCATCCTGTTAGTTTCCCTACTCTCTTTTCTTCTTGCCATAAAAAAAAATAGTACTGGTATTATTTCTGTCTTGTGCTAAAAAGCACTTTGATACTATCTATTCCTCTTTGTGGCATAGCTGGAAATCATTATTCCCATTTTGCAGCTGAGGAGAATGAGGTGGAGAAAAGATACAGACTTGATGAGCTGGCAAAGCCAGCACTAGGACCCAGGTTTTCTGATCCTTGCTCTCACGCTCTATATCTCACTGCCTCCGTGGAGAGGGGTACAAGAGGTGTACAAAACAGAATGCTGTGAAGATGATGGCCAGATGATATACAACGTTCCGGCTCAGGGGAGCCCTCTGGCTGGTTTTGGAGACTGCCTTCCAGAACACTCCTCAGGCTGGGGGTCCCTAGTTCCTGGGAAACCCTTAGTGTGGAATGATTTAGTTGCTTGCCTGAGTTCCAGGAACTAACCTGGTGATCTAGGCTATCTGAAATTCTTATCAAGGGTAAGAGAATAAGGAACATAATTTCAGAATTTCAATCTGTTCCTGACACCCAGAGTCAAACCACCAGCCCCGCCTTTGTTTCAGGGGGCCAAAGTTTCAAGTCGGATGTGGCAACAGAGACTAATAAAAGGACCCCCTTTCCTGAAGCTTCTCATAAAAGAGCAGGCAGATGCCAGGTGTGCAAAGAGAACCAGGATGTCCAAACTTGGCCCTGAGACTACGTCCAGGAAACTGGGCCCCTGGAAAGGCTACTTTCTGACCAGCGGGACCTAAAGGGAAGTTCACATCAAGTCACAGGATCTATTCCTGGGTTGCTACACCAAGAATGTTCAGCGTGGTACCATATAGAGTGTACGGCGTCTAGCCCCAGGTCAGCCACATCCAAGCTGAATAATCTTAGGCAAGACACTTAACTGTTTTGATCTCAGTTCCCTATCTGTAAAACCAGGCAACACTTGCTCTCCCTGTGCCTCACATTGCAGATTGAATGAGCTCATGCTTATGTGGGAAAGCATCCGTTCATCCCTTTAACTATGTACTCAGTATTTATCATGGGCCTACTATGTGCCAGGCACAGTTCTAAGATACTAGAGATAGAAGGATGAACTTTCAGGGCGCCTGGGTGCCTCAGTTGCTTGAGAGTCTGACTCTTGATTTCAGTTCAGGTCACGATCTCAGGGTCGTGAAATCGAGCCTGGGCCCACACTGGGCGTGGAGCCTGCTTGAGACTCTCTCTCTCCCCCTCTGTCCCTCCTCCCTCTGCTTGCACATGCATGCACACATGCTCTCTCTCTCTCTCTCAAGAAAGAAAGAAAGAGAAAGAAAGAAAAAGAAAAAAGAAGGATGAACTTTGTAAACTACAATTCCTACCCTGAGTGCCTGCCTTGCCTTTTTGACTACGGCTGTACTGGTCCAGAAGACCAGCAATTCTCTGGAGTGGATCCCAGAATTCCAGTTAAGTGGGGATGCTGTGTCCTTAGCCAACAGTTCCCAGCAACTGGCGAGCTGCATGTGATATTCACCCCCCGAAGCCCTGACTCCCATTCCCTCCCCCTCTTGTCCAGCCAGTGTCTGTGGCCTGAAGCTCTTCTCTTTTCCCCTCTACACCCAGGGCAGATGGATTCCTCTGCAGTTCTGGGAAGGAGGCACTGAATGCTGGTCACATAACTTCCGTCTGATGTTCTTCCGTGTGTTTAGCTTAGCGCTCAGGGAAAAGATGCTGTTGCCACAGCAGGCACTGAAACATCACAGGAACTGCTAGGCCCCCAGCAGCCTGCGGAAAGAGTGGAAAGAATAGGGCAGAGGAAGCCACATACTTGCTTCCTTACTCATGGAAAGCAGAGAGCCCAGGGGCTGCACCCTGAGGTTATACTTCGTCGTCAATAATGCCCTGAACAGAGAGGCCGAGTTGGTCCCTGACCCCTACTCTTTCTCACCCTTCCCTGCCTTACGATTTCTGGCCCAGTTCCTAGCCCCACCCAAGCCAGTTAGCTCAGATCTCTGCATGAATAGTTTGAGCCCCGGCCAAAATTTTCTTTGTTGTTAGCCCAAACCCACTTACTTCCTCAGTCAGGAACCTGTGACTCTAAAGGAGTGTTGGTCATGGGTTTCCAGACCTAGATCTTGAGTTCCCTCCAGGAAACAAAGCTAGGTCCTGGTCCTAGAAGTTCTGCCTGGGTTACCATGCTGGATGGCAATGGCTGCTTACCTGGAAGCTAAAGGCGATACCCGGGAAGAAAGGGCTGACAAGGCAAACTGGAAACTGGTAGATACTGCCAAGAAGTCAATGGTGTTTAAGGAAATACATTCAGCCAAGAGCTAGTATATTCAAAAATTTGGCTCTGAAGAGAACCAACATAACATCCATAGCCCATATCATG